GCAACTTCATCATGGGAGGCAGGTACTGTACAACTGGGTGTTAGAGACTAACCTGAGATACGTGGAGAAAAAAAAATCTTTCTCCAAGACAATAACAATGAATATGATGGGTCAAACAGTTGTGAATTTGCTTGCATATTGTGCCTAAAATGAAGCAACAGAATATTATACACTAGGAAAAAATTCCTAACACCAAGGAGACAATTAAAATTTTTAAGTTTTGGAGCCTGCCCTAGAACTCACTCTGTAGACAAGGCTGACGTCAAACCTACAGAGATCCTCCTGCCTCTGCCTCCCAAGTGCTGGGATTAAAGACATGCACTACCACCACCCAGCTCAGATTGGATAATCTTTATAACTTGTTTTTCTGACTTGATATTTGAGATAACTCAAATCATTATAGGTTTCTCATTTCAAATAGTTTTGTTGAATACCAGTAAATAAATTATAAAATTCCCAAATGGCTTTAATTTATATAATTCTTCCACCATGAGGCATAAGGGCTAATTATTATCAATTTATTACCCCCAGAGAATATTTCTAAGAAATAAAGTCTTCATTAAGTTTTTCTGTATATGATTTCAAATTACTTGCTACAAATCAACACTGAGTTAGGGATAAAAGGAAATTTCCTGTTCAGACACCTGCTAAGATGCAACATATGGACAATAAAACAACTTGGCAAAATCATTTAAAGAGTGAAATGACATGGAATGCTGTAATCATTGCTTATGTTAATAAGCAAGGTTTTCTCCAATGGTCACTAGTGCCAAAGTCACAAACACACTTCTTTTGCTTGTTTTCTCTTGTTCCTTTATAACTTTAAACAGATAATGTTCCACCCAGAAGCTGGACCATATTTTGTGACAGCTTTCCCTACTGTTTGAGCAAGGCAGAGGAAAACATGCTGCAATGTTAAATTATTTGAAGTTGAAATCCTTATGAATATTCTATTTTAAGAGCTGTCTTGTAATTGAGATAGTTTCTTTCTTAGAAACATAGAGCTATTTCCTGACTGAGCAATGAAGCTAAAAATAAAATATGAGTACATGGAGATTACACTTGTTCAAACTCTATTAATTATTCCAGAGTTTCATGGGATTTAATCAATATTTAGCATATGCTCTAATAAGCAAATGAAATATGTACTGTGTTTTCAAGGATTCACTGAGTTTTATTCCCCTCCCAGGTTTTTATGTAGCACACACAAAATTGGTAAAGGAATTTGGGGGCAAAATTACAGTCCCACATTTTTACACACAACATATCAGTTTGTAAATGTATTCAGGAAGGTGACTTATCATTTAAGCTCTTTTCCTTTTTCTGAGAATGCGGAACAAGATACCACTAGAGATCAAGCTAAACACAAAGGGCCATTCTCTTTGTCCTTACAACACAACCTCCACATTTCAAGGAGGAAACTAACATACTCAATCCTCTCAAAGAATTAACTGAATTCAAGGTCCCTGGAGGTCTTAACCATAGATGCATTCATGCATTGCGTAGAAACAACAATATAGTCCTAGAAATATGGCATCTGGTGATGTCATCATTGCAGGTTATGTAGTTATACTATCAATGACAGCTATGATGTCATTAGATGACTTCATCTAATGGGTTTATCATAGTATGTTCAGGCCTACATTGATTAAAACATCCTTAAATAGTGAATGATTCTGTAAGAATTTAGAAACCAGTAAGAGCTTCATGATAAACCCTTCCTTGTATGTTCTGCCTTCCATTAACATCCAAACCTCTTATGCATTGGATGGAAATTGGAATCCCGCTGCCTTACTGAGGCTGACATAGTTATGCTCATAAGCCACACATTAGTAGCTGTCATACAAAACATTTAAAAATTGTATTATCATTCCACTAGATGATAGGAATCAATTTTAAAGTATGCTAGACAGCATTTCAATGAATATTTACTGTTATGCCAGGTGTTGCCTGACAACCTTATCACATATTTAATCTTTGTGATGTCACTAATCCATCTTACATACAGGAGATATTAATGAGGTTAGGACCTAGTCTCGAGCATATGAAAGGTTAATGTTTTTATTTCATTCACATCTCCTATTTTAAGAAGGACATTTTAATAATAAGACATATTCCATATGCTCATTAAAAGTAAAAATATTTAGTCGACTTCTCACTGCTTTGCACCCTTCACTTAGTTTACTATTGTTCTGTGCACTTCATAGGTAAATTTGGGACCAATTTACTTTATTATCATTTGATAATAAGAACTGTCTTTACTGGATAGGTTCTTAACTTGTAAATAATAGTAGTTAAGCGGTTCACAGTTCCAGAACAGGCAAGTTTCAAAACAAGCATGTTTCAGATCCATGGCAACACCTGGAGATGCTCTTGCTGCATCATTAACAGGAGGAAATGTCACAAATCAGAGCATGTGAGCAATGAAGAGGGAAGGAAGATGACATCCTTTATAAAGATGCCATTCTTGTGTGATGAGCTCGTTCTAATGATTAAGACATTAATGCATCCTATAAAACAGAACCCTCATTCCATACTAACCTCTTAAAAGATTATGCCTCTTAACACTGTTGAACTGGGATTAAATTTCTAACACAAGAATGTTGAAAGCACATTCAACCATAGAAAGAGCTAAGAAATATTCAAATACCCAGGAACAAGTCCAGATGCTCCTTTGCCTACAATCTGTGGCAAACCCATTGTATATTGAAAATATCAAATCAACAGTGCATTTAAGGCCAGTCATGGCTATTTATTTATTTAACACCAGCACTCAAAAGGCAGAGCCAGGCAAATCTTTGTGAGGTCAAAGCCAAACTGGACTGAATAGAGTGCTTTAAGACAACTAATACTATATAGCTAGGCCCTGTCCCTGCAAAAATGCATTTGATACATCTCCCCTCTCAAACATCATAGTTTAGCCTTGGCTATATTAAACATCTTGAGAATACCTTCATTAGCCTAAAGTTTGGCAAAAAATTAATATTCACCTCATAAAAAGTTTATTATCACATATGATTTATTCAGTATAATACACTGTAGATTAATGTCTTTTACCCCTATGATCAAATGTTATGTAAGAACCTGTAGTTTCCTGCCATTGCCCAACATCATGACAGAGGGTGATACCTCCAATTCAGAAAAAAATCAAATCTTAAGGAATGTTTTCTACATAATGCACATCAACTGTACACTATCATAGAGTAGAAAAAGCATGTATAATTATCATAAGTTAGGGACCATCAACAAGTACATATACACTAAACACAAAAATCTAACAAGTGAAAAAGTTTCAACTCTAGCTTTGATTATGGTTACAATGTCATGTGTTCAAGTGTGGCTGTATGCATGCAATCAAAATTATTGCTTTGTTTAGCAACCCTTTGATATAAATATAACAACTAATATCACTTTAATCAAAATGAATATGTTTTAATTATATATTATAAAATATTTACTAGTGTAGTAACTGTCCATGTCTAAGCTCCCCTCCGTAAAAAAAAGAATTTTTGAAGAGCTGGAAAAAAATCTCTTGTTTCTCTTGTACTGAACTCAGTGTTGGTTCCCAGCACCCACTTGTGGCTCACAAACATCTGTAACTACAGTTCTAGGGAACTCAGTGCATTCTTCTGACCTCTACCGGCACCAAGCACACACACAGTGCACATACATGTATGCAGACAAAAACCTCATACATATAAAATAAAAATAAATTTGTATGAAACTTAAATGCAGTCAGTCTTTGATAATATGTTCAGAACTGTGCCCATTGTTAATATACTTTCTGAAAAAAGAACATAGAAATTTGCATGGTCATCATTATGACATTGGCATATTTACAGAAAAATATTTTAATAAAATGTTTAGGGAATTTTTTAATCATTTCACAAAAACGTTTTTTCATCCTTGCAAAATACCTGATTGTTACACAAAAGTGTATTCTCTTGAACTTTAATTTATTAGGAGTACATAGTTTATGTATGTTCATGTCCTTTTAGTTTTAAGATAATATAAATACATTATAAAATATATACATCTGTTTTATAATATTTTATCCATTTCTGTGTATGTGAAACTAAAAGAATAATATAAGACATATGTAGATGAGTCTTACAATCTTTCCTATGTGTCTATTATCTCCTTAACATTCTTTATGAGAAATATTCTGCGTTGACCAAGAATTCTTAATTCTTGGGCCATGATTCTACAAATTGCAGTGAATGGACCTCAAGTTATTTTTAAGATGCTCAAAAGTAATATAAACCTTGTACACACTGTGTGATTTCATGATGAATACATCTGCAGATTGCCTGAAGTTTGATATCAGTTGTAGAAATCCACTACTGAATGGAAGTGGAGGAGTAGTGCATATACACTTTGTGATGTTGTAACGGGTTTTATATTCCAAGTTGTTCACATGATAGAATGATGTTCCCTCAGTCACTGAGTATAGCCGAGCCTCAATTTCTCAACCTATAAAATAAAGAAAACCAGACGTACTTCACATGTGATTTTTCCATGTAGTTAATGAAGGCTAAAGACCAGGTTTCTGGCAATGTATTGAGGTTTTTGTTAGATTTGTGAAATTGTGTTATTTTTTTTTAAAAAATATGTCCCATAATTTGAGCATCTTCATAACCTAGAGAATTGGATCCTTCTTTTATTCATTTAAAAGTTTATACAGAAGAAAAAATTTAAAATTATATATAAAGCTCTGCTAATAAACTAGAACACAACAAACACTTGATTAGTGTTCATTATCATCCTATTATTGTATGCTATAGGTAATCTGCCCTAATTTATTTTTGAATTGCTGTGTCCAAATGATTGCTTAATATCTTCAGTAGTGTGGGCTAGGAATATTTAAAGAGAAGCTTTACGTGCCAGCAAAGTTACCTTAATGTATTTAGAATTCAACTTGGCATGAAGAAACTCAAGAATTAGATATATGGGCTGAAGAAAGGGATAGCCTTTGGGATTTAATAAAGACAATGTTTATATTTTGCTGAAAAATCTCAAGATGTTTATTCAGAGAAAACTGATATCATGCAGAGGAAAGTGCCTGAGATCTCATACATTTGTCAGTTGGCAGATGCAAGAGCAAATGAGAACTCACCAGAATTATATAAATCTTATTACCTACACAGAAGCAGCCAAATTGTCAAGAATGTAAGTGTTTACAAAAATGGCCATGCAAACATCTGAGTCATATTATTGGAATTTGGAGCATATGATACCTGTTCTACATATACACATTCATATATCAACTTACAATTCATAAAAATGTTGTCATACCTTCCAATACTATATAGAGAATGTACAAACATTTCTATAAATTATAATTATATAAAGAACCATAAATGCTGATGAATTATGATTAAGCTCCACTTGTTTTTTCAAATTAATATATACATACATATATATACTAGTTATAAACAAAATCTACTCACCATATACATATACTAGTTATAAACAAAATCTACTCATCAGAATGATGTAATTTGTATTTCAAATAATAGGTGTTTAAATATCATCTCTCACCAAATTTAACTGATTATGGAAATGCTCTCTACTATTTAGGATAAAAGGAATTTGAAGTAAGTATGGCACAGTTGCTTGTTGCAATGTCTGAAATCCTGGGGAATTTGTAAATCAATGTTAGCAGGAGGTGTATGTCAGTTATATGTGTTTAGTGTAGATGTGCATGGTGTAATGTAAAACTCTATTCGGAGAAAAATATTTGTCTTGTTCTTGAATCAGTCGTGAAGTCCCCTGATGAATTAGCTAGGGGACAGTATGAATGTGGAAATTATTGAGTTTTACGTTGCTCAATAATAATAGCAAAGTTTGTAAGGGATTTTTCCAAGAGTGACTTGAATGGCCTCCAATCACAGCGCTATTTCCTGCTTCTTGCTGTGTCCGTTTAGCAGGACAGAACTGGTCACCGTGTTCTTTGTGTTGCTCTTCAGAGACGTCATTCTCACTGCTGAAGAGCTGAGAAGGTAGCTGGTTGACCTCTCTGGGTAGGACTTCCTCCTGCAGCAGAGCTGGCTGTTGAAATGCTTTCTGAAGCTTTCGCTGAGCAGGTAAAGAGCAAAAGGATTGACACAGGAATTGGTGAAACTCAGAACCCGGGCCACTAAGGTGACAATCATGTGACCCAGAGAAGGGTCAATCTCCTTGTAGTTGAAAGACCTGTACAAGTAGAGGATGTGGTTGGGAAACCAGCAGAAGACAAAGCAGGCCACGAAGACGAGCACAATCTTAGCCAATCGTTTCCGGGTCTCCATCTATAAAAAACAGCAAATATAACCATAAGTCAAAGGGAAACATAGCTGACAAGGAAATAGAATGCAGTTGTACTAATGATGCATCTTTGTGTCCTAAGTTAGGCAATTCAAGAAGTATCAATATAAAATTTATAGTACTCAATATGTCCTCCCTAGACGACACAGCATGGGTATAGAACTTCCATGGCAGTCCAAAACCGGAGACTCAAGTTCAAGAAAGTTGGGCTTTGAGATGATGTCTTAGAAAATTTCAAGACTCAGTTACCCAATCAGAGCTTATAAAGTCTCCAAGGGGAAATTTACAAAAATAAGGCAAAACCAACAGTATTTTAAAAAAAAAGTTGTGGATATTGGAAGAATTCAACTTAAAGGAAATCAAAAACCAAAACTCAAACATACAATATGATAAAATTTGGATTTTAGAACTCCCAGTAAAGTGTCTAGCTATGTAAATTAAAGGACCTGATGCATAAATGTCTTGCTTGCATGATTCCAGATACTTAGATAAGAATTGATTCATTTATCTGAAACATCAGTTCACTATCTGAATCTTTAAAATGAATGTCTACTCTTCATGTTGATATTCATTAATTAATGAAGGCTACACTGCACCACGGAAACCTCTGACAGCTCCTGCTGCTGATTGGTGAGTGACTCAAAGGTCTCTCTCCATCTAGAATCACTACTAACACTAGCAATCTCAGATTTAGTTTATTTGCACTCATATTCCCAAAAAGCAGTCATCACATCCCTGTAACATTTGTAATTATGGAAGTTCTGGCCCATTAGTGTTTTTTTCTCTAGGAATATAGAAACACACAACTGGGAACTTCTACACAAAAACATTCTTTCACACAAATAACTTTAACTGAAATTATTATTGCATGCTCTTTAACAAAAAAAAATTGTAGCTAATCTACATGTGATCAACTTTCGACTAATGTTGGGTAAGGTTGCACAGTTGTAATAGACCAATAGTCCCAACCACCTTTGGTATTACATTCATTCTCTCTGCTGCTCTGCATTTCCTAGAGCCTCTCCTTCTGGTACCCATTCATGTCCCCGGCCCAGCCCTAGGCACTGCCCTATCCTCTTTATAGAGATATCCTTCTTCACATTTCTGGTCGCCTTTACAGGGATACCAAGAAAAGATCATAATCAATTTACACTTAAAATCTGGACTTTACAGACGGATCTTCATCTTTGTACAAATATTTTCATGGAATTTAAAAAAACATAATTTTTTATTTATTATCCATTCATGTGTACACATGTGTGTGCTTGGTTTCAGGGGATCTGAACTCAGTCCTCACACTGATAAGTAGTCTCTTTACCAACATAACTTCCACCAAGCACAAAAACTTTATTTTCTACTGATGACATTCCAGTTCTTGTCAGAGGCTCTGATACCCAATAAATGGGATTCAGGTAGATCCCATTTATATGTGACACAGCCACATGTAAGAAATTACCCAAGATCCTATCAGTTAAGGCAAGTGAAAACCCAAACACACACACACACACACACACACACAGAGAGAGAGAGAGAGAGAGAGAGAGAGAGAGAGAGAGAGAGAGAGAGAGAGAGAGAGAGAGAGAGAGAGAGAGAGAGAGAGAGAGAGAGAGAGAGAGAGATCCAGCTTACCTGCTTTTTGGTATGTTCATTGGATTCTCCTGGAAGATTGTGTGCACTTTTAATTAAAGTCTTAGCAATGTGGTAATAATAAATGCTGATAATAACAAGTGGTATGAGGAAATAAACAAGAAAAATAAGCACTGAGTGAATCTTGGGGTGCAACTCATCCGTTTGCGGGTAGGGTATGCATGCTGTGAAACTACTGTTATCCAAGCTACCAATTTGTGCTACTTCTGAAAACACAGCTTCAGGGACTGCCAACAACACAGAGACCACCCAGATGCCCACAGCCTTCACACTGGTCCACAGCACCACGCCAGAAGTCTGCATGTCCATGGGATTCACGATAGCTCTGTACCTAGGAAAAGAGGCTCAAGTTACTCTTACTCTCTAGGAAGAAAGGAGGGAGGGAGGGAAGAAGGGAATGGAGATAAATGAAAGAAAAGAGAGAAAGGAAGGAAGGAAGAGAGAGAGAGAGAAAGAAGAAAGAAAAAGAAAAGACAGAAGGGGAGGGAGGGAAGAGGGAACTAAGTCTCACTGACAGTATAGATACCAACACTTCTTTCTCTGGCTGTTTCCTAACATATGAAAAACACAAACTCCCTGTCATTTCAGTGTCTCCAATTCATTCCAAGGCTTATTGGCACAGAGCTCAAGGAAAGAGAGGGAAATATTTTAAAGTGGAGTGTCCTAAGAAATGGTGATTGACTCTTTCACAATAATTTTATCTCCAATTGATGTACAGTAGTACATGTATCATTTCTCATTGAGTTTGATCAGCTATTAGATTTTCTTATTTAAATGCATTCATTTCCAATCCATCATTATGCTTGCTATCTAAGGAAAATAACTGAGTTATCAAAGGTCTGCAAAGCAATGTAGTTAAAGTCTACTTTGATTCTATTCTCATAGCTTCAGAGTTTGGGACTTTGAACATTTTCCCTTAACATTTTCCTAATCAATAAACCCTAGATAGGAATTCAGGGTGGAATTTTTATCCACAATCCAATTGAAAGAACTGAAAATAGAAGAGTATTCTGTTTGTATAGACCAATTTTATTTTGTTAGAGTACACAAGAGCCTATCCTCTCACCTCTTGGATATTAGTGAGTATGTGTAGTTGTGGCAGGTAATAGAGGACTCATGTTTTGAGACCAGTACCTTAATCCTTAACTTCTCATGACCAATGCCACACTTTACATGAAGCAGTGATACTTCAAACAAGCCAAACTGTATGTAAGCAAGCTGTATTTGTCTTTAAATGGTTTGAAGTTAAATATATATATATGAGATAAATAGCAAAATATAATAAAAAGTGATTACAGTCAGACAAATTCATCATTGTCTATGATATCATTTATAAAAGTCACTTAAGGTCTTTTTATTTTCACTCTGAAGTAAGGATAAAAACATCTCCTTCCCAAAATTATGTACTTAGTGGCTTATAATGATTATCAGACTCATGATACAGGCAACTTACCAAAGATAGACAGACAGTCAGACAGACAGACAGATAGATAGATCTGTTGATTGCATTTTTTAATGGAGGACAATGGATAAAACAGTTAATAAAGTTCCACAGTGAGCCTTCTTTTAGGTAACCAGGAACCACAGGGGATATTCTGAATATCCCTGATATTTAAAATAAATAAATAAAAGGAAAATGCCCCTCTCCACACCATCTGCTGCACACTCTTGCAGAGACATAGTCTTAGGTAATTTGAAATAATAAATTAAGATCCCCTAGACTGGGTGATTTGTGAACTCCAGAAGGTTATTTTACAATCCTGAAGAGTAGTAAGTCAAGGATGAAGATTCTGACAGATTCAATGCCTGATGAGAGTGCCCTTTCTAGATAGCATATGTTAGGTTCAAAGCAGCTCCCCAACACCCCCCCAACCCCATTGGCAGTGCTGGTTACAGTGTTCCAAACAGAAGGCCGCTGACTGTATAAACAGAAGGATTTTATTGAATAAAAAGAAGCCTAACCTCAGAATTTCTCAGGAACCTCTTAAGGCTGATTTCTGTTACCAGGAAAACCACTACCTCCATTGTCAGCTGCCTCAACTACCTGGACAAGAGCATCTAGTTCATTATAGGTCTGAAACAGCCTGCTCAGCTGAAAGTCCCACTTGCTTTCTCCAATAGCTACTACCCTTTACTTTCCAAGACAGTGTGCAAGTTTGTTCCCCAAAAGATTTTCTTTCTACCCATAGAGTGCTCCAGTAAGTGCCTTCACTTACAGATGACTAGCAGAGTCTTCTGAAGCTGTTTTCATAATGACCCTACTCCAAAGACCTAATCATCTCCCAAAGTTTCCACTACCTGTCACCATTGTTTAGTGGAAAAATATTTCAATTTATGAATTTTAGGAGGACACAGACCTTCAGGTTGTAATATGCACTGTTCTCCTTAAATGGCTATAAAATGTGTAAACTGTTCATTGTGATAAGACTACTAGTAATAGGCCAAATTGCATTTAAGAAGATGAACCTAGCTCTAGAGTAGGGCAAAGATGATTAAGACCTTTTCAACGGGGATGATTCTTGTGACCTTCTGCAAGACAAGAGGGCTATATACCAGGAAGTATCTAAATGAAAAGACAATAGTGCAAATCCTATAAACAAAGAATCACACTTGAAAAACAGCAGATTATAAAAGTTGTCAGTACTGTAACATAGCTTACAAATGCAAATGAGCATTTTTTTTTGTTTTGTGGGGGAGGAGAAAGTACTAGTTAATTAACCCAGGGCATCACACATTCAAGGCAAGCACTCTACCACTGAGCCACAGACCCAACTCTGAAAGAATATTAATGCTGTAGGTATATCTTTGGAAGAATATAAAGCAATAAGTAAAGTCATCATGCATACTAAAGTGGGCATGTATTATCATGCTTTTTTCAAACATTTACATAAACCATGAGAAAGATGTCCCTCAGCATAAAACCTATTTAATTAAACTCAGTAGCATAGCAGATATGTGTAAAATGATACATTTTCCCTTACAAATAGTCTCAGAGAGATTTTCCTAATTGAATTAAAGAATAATCAATCAAAAGACAGACAGAGAAGTACAATCACCATCCATATATTAAGCATCAATGAATAGATTGCTTCATCAACTTGAATCTCATTGATGATTTCTGCATGCAGTATAAGTTTAATGTAAATATAAAATTGAATTTAATCATAATATAAAATAAATAGAAAATCAGATCATTTTTACTTCTTGCAAAAAATCATCAGAACATGTCAAAAAAATCTGTTTCTTTAAGTATGTCTAGTTAAATTACCATCTTCTTTCTTATTGAACTTTGTTATGCAGGAAGGATGCAAACAAGGAGTCTGGGTGTGAACCAGACTGTTGCTCATTGTTGCTCCGCTAGTACACAGTATACTATTCAGAGCTACAGTGTGTTCTCAGCAAATGGAGACGGGCCTACTAAGTATTAAAGACATTCTTAATTAAAACCAATTGTGGTGAGTAGAACTGCTGAACAGTGAGTTGAGACAGGAATGGTGGTGTACAATGGAGACTGTCTACTAATGTTCAATGTGTATCAAGCTTCAGAATCACCTAAAGAATTGGGGACAGGGCAAAGAAGACAAATTGGGTTTCTCCAAAGATTGACTGACAGAGCCTCTAGGATGTGAATTAAGAGATTCTGCCTTTACTCATACTTTTCAAGTCTGCACATAGGTCATGTGTTTAGAAGCAACTAGCAGTGGGCATCATTCCAGAGTAGTGGGTGCACATTCACAATGAATTTCTGGGATCAACAAATATCTGGTACTTAGAGAATCAGATGCCTTCTCTGATTCTCATATTAGGTAAACACTACCTTAGGAGCATACGTTTTGTGATATTTTGTCATCCTTCTGCAGGAAAAGTATGTATCTATAAGGGCTGCAATGAGGACCCAGCTGCCACAAAATCCAGCCTGGAACATTCACATTTTACCATGTGTGTCACAAGGAAACAAATAATCACAGAGCTATAACTGAATTGTGGAAACAGTGTTAATACTCAGGAATCAAACAGTGCATTTTAAGTCAGTGATGCTACTTCTAATGAAAGGGAAAATGGAAGAGATCTAGCAGTGATTGAAAGCAACTGAGGAAAAGACATAATTTACTGTAGTCAAATATAACACACTATTTAATATAGATACAATAAATTGCAGAGATAGCAGTTCATTCTGTCACTATGGCTCTGTAAACATCACAGCTGGGTTCTTAATATAAAAGGCAACTTTTCTTTTGCAATGACAACATGAAAGCTCCCATAAAAATTAATTACCTTTTGTGAAAGTGTGGGGGTCATCCTACATTTTTCACCTTTCATTTTCCCTACTCTTGTTTTCCTCCCTTTTATACCTCTAATGTGTTATTAACATTTTTATTTAAGCTTGGTTAATTGAACCAAATTGAAAACAGCCAGGGAACTCCAAAAGAAGCATGCACCACAATTGCCACGGTATGCATATGCACATGATACCCCCAAGAAGTCCTAAATTCATGAGGCTCTTCAGTCTTCTCCCTCTGGTGAGGGAAAATTACTTGTTTCCATGACAATAAATTGAAAAACTTGTGTGAAATAAACTCAAGCTCTGAGTCTTGCTACCAAGCCATGATTTAAAAATGAATGCTTGGTGTCAAGTTCACCTATTGTGATAGTTAATCATTGTGTTTTGTTCTAATTAAGTTTATTTCTTTAAAAATCTGACTAAAATATTTCTCCTGAAGAAGTGCAGCCAAGCTCAAACATCATATTTTAGCTCTGAAGTTCAAATGAAACTTAAATAATATAATAGAACTGTTGCCAAGAAGACAAAATAAGGTTCATAAGTAGTATGCTACATAGATAGACTAAGTATCTGCTTAGCTAACAACAGCATCATAAAGACTCTCCACTATTTCCAATAAATATTAACTCTTTAATTCCAAATTAGTATAAGGGCAGTATAGCCAGCCCCCAGAAACTCAGATCCAGACTCATTAATAATTTAATATGCAAATTAGTCAGGAGAGTGAATTTTTATAACCAAGTTGAATTGTTTAGCAAAATAACTTCAATCAGTCTTTCCTTCCCAAGAGAATGAGGCCACAGCTCCAATAATGATGCCAATGATAAACTTTGCCCCCAGGCAACCTCCCAGAATTCCCTCCTGCATAAAAGCCCCGAAAGAGTGGTATAGGCAGCCCAGGATAACAGTCCAAGCCTCCTTTCAGGAAGCCTGGATTTTCCTCCCAGCAGTGAACTTACATTCTCTGAGCTTCAGAAGCCACACATGGAAAATGACAATGTTGAACCAGTTGATCTGCCAAGTAGAACAATGGATAGTTCACACTGCTAGAGTATGTGAAAGGAGATTGATAACGAAGGCTGTGCCCATAGCATTGTTTTAAGATATTAAAATTTAACATTATCTGGGGAGAAATCTCTTTATTTCAACAAGAACTAGAAGAACTTAAGATTTTTCAAACAAGAAAATGTGAGAGTATATTTTTGAAGCACACTTTTAGTTCTAATTGTTTTCATTAGACAAGCGATATTTACTTCACAATGTAAGTGGTGCATGGCTAAACTATGCAGTTTCCTCAAGTTAAACTTAAGTGTTCTAACATACCAGAATATGCCCCTTTACTGAATCCGGAAGCAGCTTGCTCAAGTTTAGACACACGGAGGAAAAATAAAAATAAAAAAATAAAATCCCAGACGACAATTGAACTTTAACTTGTTTATATCATAGATCTTCTGTGAAGTGCATAGCAAGGTTGCCAAAGTGTGTGGGAAAATGCGGGCACTAGAGTGTGCAAGTTTAAAATTAGTGCAATTTTAACTCTTATTTAAATAGTTTGCATATGTTTTTAAACATCACTTTTCATTATGTTTTAACTCGAGTTACTAGGCTTCCATTATATACATACACTTGCCTTTCCCCATCTCCATCCCCTAACATCCTTTTTCCTTGGCTGGTGCATTCCAGTTCCCAATAATCCTAGCCCCCTGCCCTGTCCAGCACTTTTCCAGTTTCTCCCCTTGCTACCTGTACTCTTACCTGTCCGCGCTGAGGGCGGTGAGCGTGAACACAGAAACCCCCACGGAGGTGAGCTGGATGGCGGGGATGAGCTTGCAGCCCAGCTTGCCGAACACCCACTCATCAAAAAAGTAGCGGGAGGCGTCCACTGGAACGCAGGTCAGCAGCAGCAGCAGGTCCCCAGCCGCCAGATTAGAGATGAAGATGTTGGGGACGCTCCTCATAGCGCTGTTAGTGAGGAATATCTTCACCAGCATGATGTTGCCCAGCAAGCCCACGGAAATGATGATTAGGTAGAGAGATGGGATCACACAGCGGATCACCAACTCCGCGGTGGTCCCATCCGAGCGGGGCAGGAAATCTTTTTTCCCACACCTCAGGAACCGACTCGCTCTCGTTCGCCTCCATGGGCAAGGACAGGTTGGAAAGAGACCTGGGGGGCATGAACTCTTTTCCCAAGGAACCCGCAGGAGTTTTCGTGAACTCGAATGTCTTGAAAAGTGCAATGAAGAGCACGACTTGGGTTTAACTGATTTGCCTCTAATCCTGGCAAGTTTTGTGGCTCCTGGGTCTGAGCCACAGCACTGGTCCCGCAAAGAAGTCTGAGCGATGCACTCCGGAGCTTCTCCCTAGGAGAGGTTCCCTTCACTACTGCAGGTTTGCGATTTAAACTCAAACAAAAAGCAAGCGGTTGAGGCTTTACTCGTCTTTAAGGCTTATATCCCCCCCCCCCCCCCCAGTAGCAAGCAGGAAAACCGAGGTCAGCCCCTGTGGGACCAAGAACCCTACCTGCCCCACTGGTCCGCTCCAGGAACGGAAGTCATCCGGGAGCTGCCCAGCCGCCGGTGGCCGCTGAAACGCTGGCACTAGCTAGCGCGGTGTCTTTTGTGTTCACCCCACAGCTTTGCTCTTCTCTCTACCGTTCCTGCCGTACTGCTGTGTGGAACCGAAGGGGAGCTGAGGCCTTTTTGTTCATTCTGCGTCCCCATATACATCCATCCTCAACCGTCTCCGAGCAGGAGATGCCCACGCAGGAAGTTTGTGAGCCTCTGAGGATTGATGCTCTGAGCTGGCAAGTCCCCAGTCCTGAAACGCTGAATTTAGCAAGCCAGCCAGGGATAAAGGATGAAATCAATGGAAGAACTGCTGTCCACTCTGTTCTCTCGTCCTCTGACCACCACCCCCATCCCAAATCTAGAAACTCTTTTCCGCAGATGATGTATTTTTAACTCTATTTTCTTGAGATACAGCATACAACAAGTTCACATCACTTAGAGGTATGCTTTACTATCAGAACAATCTAGTTAGTAGAAAGCACCACTAAGCATGCCTTCACCTTAGTGGTCTCTTGAGGATCACAGGAATAGAACTTTACAGACTCAGTCATCCAACTTCTTTCCTCGTTATATCCGTGGGAGCTATACACGCTTCGTGAGGAGCCTTTTAAAAACATGCAAGTGGTACCTATCCATTTTCATGTTCTCTAACATTTGGAAGCTTCACAACTTTAGCCTATTTAAATAGTTTCTATGAACATTTTTGCACATGGCTTCTGTTGCACACACACAGATAACCTCTAGGCTTGAATTAGCAACTCTTAGAACGTATGTTCACGAGTGGTAAAAGTTAGTTTGTTTGCTTGTTGATTTTTACATGAATTACCCATTTGTTTTTCTTTTTATATAAGTTTGATTTTAGCACTATGTGCATCTCTGTATGCATATATGCCTGCAGCTGATGATACCACTCATAAATTTAGACACTTAAAATCTGATATATTCATTTTCTGAAGCATGATGTTATATGTCACTCAGAGTGACCTTGAGTTCTTAGGCTCAAGTGATTCTGTTGCTTCAGTTTCCCAAGAATCTGAAACTATAGGACCTAACCCTGCACCCAAATTGACAGGTTCACAATCTGTGAATCAGAATAAAATAATTTCCAGAATCGCCACCACCATTAGAATGTTATACAGAAAAGACTGCTCAGAGCCAGTGGGTTGGCTCAATGCATAAAGCAGCTGTAGCGCAAGATGGGCCACCTGAATTCATCCCTGGAGGCAGCATATGGTTTGGAAGGAGAGAAGCCACTGGAATGTGCTGCCTCTGACTTCCTCGTGCATACCACAGCACACCCGTACATACACAAACCATAATCATTACAAAATTTTTAAAACTGTCCAGATATAATGACCCCACAGTTAGACAAATAACACTGTTGACATTGGGGAAATGTGTGTCTGGCTTGGAGAGTTAGAAGATAAAATTAAACAATTGGGAGTCCATAAAAGATCACCTTTAATGATCTATTCATGAGCCGATAAAATGCATACAGGGACAAGGCCATTTGTCAGTTCAGCAGCTTTTCAGACCAAAAAAAAAGAGGATTTCACACAGCAAGGTAGTTATTGGGATTACAATCAATTTTTTTCTAATTAAATTTCAAGTCTATGGTATACTCTTGGGCTTCACCGCTTAGTCCCTTGTAAAGTTTAGACTGGCTAAGTGGAATTTTCATGTACATTTCTGTCCATTTTTCTTTTGCAAGATAATTGACATTACTTATAAATTGAACTATGTCTCTAGAAATTTTATCCTCAGGGTTAAGTTTCTCTTATAACATTCACTCTCGTTATGCAAAGTAAACTTGTAAAGAAATCTAAATCCTGAGAGGACTCAAACTTTCAAGCTCAAGGTATTCTATTTTAATGATTTTTATTTTTAATGTTTTCCCTTGCAATAAAATTGTATCGTTCCTTCCCTCTAATTACTCTCATGCTCGCCCCTCTCAAGTTGGTGGTCTCTTTTTATTTTATTATACTCGTTTCATATGTGTCTGTGCGTGTGTAAATATATATCATGCGCTGAGTGTTTTCGTTGAGTATATATGGTTTCAAGGCTGAGCACTCTGTGTTGGAAAACCAATAAGGGGGCTCAACCATGAAAGAGGGCAATTATGCCTCTCCCAGTAATCATTGGTTACCTGTAGTTTTTCATCTAGGGGTAAGACCCTGTGAACTATTTTTCCCTTCCACTAATCTGAGCATGTCTGTTGATATTGCCATTGTTCTAGTACAGTTTATAGAGTCATTTTTAGGGAAGACTGCTTCACAGAAGACTCCCTGATATTCTGGCTCTTACAATCTTTCCGTCACTTCTTCCTAGGTGTTCCCTATGCGACCAATGAGGGAGCTGTGATGTAGGTGTATCCACTGGGACTGCGCTAACCATGATCTCTGCATTGTGTACAGCTGTGGCTTTCTGATATGGCTTCCATTTGCTATGAGAAGCTTCTTTTATGAGGGGTTGTAGCTATACCTCTCTGGGAGTATAATTGTAAGATTTAGAATGCGATATGGAATTAGTGCTGATCTACGAAAGTGATCATGACCTTACCCTGAGAAGATGGCTAAGTTAGTGCCAGGCATGATTTTTCTCCTATTGAGTGGGTCTTAAGTTCAATGAGACTGCTGTTGGTTAGCACATACATGTGAGAGCTACTTCTTACACCTATTAATATCTTACTGTGATGGTGATTGCCACAGTTCGTAGAGCTGCAGCTGGATGGGACTGATCTCAGCTTACATGGTATTTTCTGGAACCAAGGAAGACATGCAACAGGAAAGAGGATATAATGTGGGATTCAGCTTGAATTATCCTAAATGCATGGTATCTTCAGCAATAGGGGTCCACCCTCAACCCTCAACCCCTAAGAGGTAACCTAGGATCACACTGATAATCTGTATTGTTTTGGAAATCATATGGTCTATCCTCAACAACCCATCAAAAGGAGATTTCTTGTGCCTATTACTGTAGTATTATATAGTTACCATATTTTAATGTATGTATATGAATGCATATGGAAAGCCAAAATGCTTCTGATTATCTGTATACTCATAACCATTTAGATAAGAAAGTGTCTATTCCAAAGGCTGTGTTAGCAAATATTCAAGTAATGGACTCATAGAAAAAAGGTATTTTGTATTGGATGGTTTTTTTCATATATTAGAGGTTAAGTTCATGGCAAAGGTGTTTATATACTGTGTGTCAATATGGCTATTATGAAATTTCATTAATGATTAAAACTATGTAACAACTATTAGATGCATCAAAAATTCCAAATAGAATATGAATGTCTCTCACTTTTCAACAAACATCAGAAACAGGCATGTACTGAAGGAACAAACTGTTTATTTTATTCAATGTGCCATCCATCTGCTGAGAATTGTATCTTACTAATAGCTGTAAATATTCTTTGAGGTGAGCACTTAAGTCTTATATTTTACTTAAGACAACTAAATGGTTGAGGTAAAATGGCTTGCTTAATTCTACAAACGCAATAAAACTGTGTTCTGAAGCTTGATTTATGAGTTCAATGGCTGTTGTATCTCTTTGTTCCTTAAAAAACATGGGTAAGGGCCGGGCGGTGGTGGTGCATGCCTTTAATCCCAGCACTCGGGAGGCAGAGGCAGGCGGATCTCTGTGAGTTCGAGGCCAGGCTGGACCGACAGCCTCGAAAACAATACAGAGAAACCCTGTCTCGAAAACCCAAAAAAAACAAAAACAAAAACAAAAACAAAACAAAACAAAAATATGGGTAAGACCATTAGATGGTTCTATAGGTAAAGTATGTGCTGTATAAGCATGGAGACAAGAATTCAGAACACCAACACAAACGTAAAGCCAGGTCAATAAGGCACACATCTGTAACACCACAAGTGTAATGACAGGGACAAGCAGATCCTGGGACCTTCCTGAGGGATAGTTTACTCAACATTGAATACTCTAGTTTCAGTGAGAGACACTGTCTCAAAAGTTAGTGTAAAGTGATAAAGTAAGACATAAGATAACTGAAAACACTGTCAGTCTCAACATACTCATACAGAAGAGTGAAACACACACCACATATACATATAACACAAGTGATGCATAAAAATTAAATAATATTAAAAATTTTATTTTTAATAAGAATAAATGTAATTCCTATGTAAGTAAAGGATGGGGTTTTAACTATAAGATACTGAATGCTCATAAAATATGCATTATAGATTTTATGTACCTAATACAAGAAAATATAAAGAACTGTGTGCTTGTTTCAACTTTGTTAATAAAAGTATTCTATAAGTAAATTGGGACGATTTGAAATTTACAGTACTCTAATAATCTTTATTTCTCCAAATGTATTTCCCTTCAAAGTATTATGAAGAAGTCAAATGTTATATACACTGCAACATTATAGATTCACATTTAAGAGTTTTGGAAACACAAATGTATCTACAAATACTATTGATATTTAATAATTAGAGGCTTTGCAATCAATATTATGATAACAGAAAAGAAAATGAATAAAGTTTGAGAAATGAAGTAGCAATACAATATAAAATCCTAAAAGAGCAGCTGGGTGTTGGTGGCGCACGCCTTTAATCCCAGAACTTGGGAGGCAGAGGCAGGTGGATCTCTGTGAGTTCGAGACCAGCCTGGTCTACAAAAGCTAGTTTGAGGACAGTCTCTAACGCCATAGAGAAACCCTGTTTCGAAAAACAACAACAACAAAAAATCCTAAAAGAGCACTGGGACCAGCAGAATAAGAACTAAAATCAATGGAAGAGAATAGAAAGTTCAAAGTCAGTTTTACCTATAAAAATGTATTTTAAAGTATCTTTCAACAAATAAACACAGGGTAGTATAGATTACTTAGTATGCAATACTTGGAAATAAACAGCTCACATTACAAGAATGAGTCTCTATAC